AAAAAAAAAAAGGAGGTTATAAAGAAATGTAGGCAAGAACAAACCTGAAAACAAGACAAGAATTCCTGAAGAAATTTCCAGTTCTGAGAGATCTGTGCTGTGGCTGCAGACTTCTAAGTGACAGACAGGCAAAGGAAGCACAGGAACGAGGGGGTACATTGTCTTACATTATTTAGGCACATAGAAGTGTCCTCTTTTCACAGCCGCTAAAGAAATAACATCTGTTTTGTTAGAAGATCAGTGACTTTTTTGCGTTCACAGTAATTTCTGTTAGAAACAGCTCTGTGCCATTTTATTACAGATTTGGAGAGAGAGAGAATAGGATATTTACTAAATTTGAGAAAAATGTTGCGTCTTAGGTTTCATGTTAGTTTTCTCCCAACCTACTCTAATTTCGTTAGACTTTAAACTTTCTGCATTTCTTCAGCATTATTTCATAATGGGTTCATGAGATTTTCTTGATCTCTCTGGGGAACAAATTATTTCCCCAGTAGTCTCATGACTTTTCACACATGTGAATTAAGGATTTGGAATGGGACTGGGCCTGTGCTATTACAGTTCCGTAATACTGCAGCTCAATGTCCTTTAGCACTCCCTGCAGACAGAGTTTTGAGCTGAGGAGAGCCTGTAGTTAAATCTCTCCTCAGATATATTCTTCTATATATTATTCTGTGGCTGACATTAGTAACTCGGTCTGACATTGTATTTATGGGGATTCTCATATACTTCAGTGTTTCTTTACATGATTTTTTCTTGTTTTTCTTGTTGTTGTTAACAACTTCGCTCCAAGTCTTGTTACTTCACTTCTGCAGGGTATCCAACTTACACTCTATTCCATGTTTAGTGCTTAAAATGTGAATTACCCCTTTCTTATCACAGAAAGAAGATAGAGGGTATTTAAGTGCAAGCCCACTTGGAATAATTTTTTGGACTAAGATTATCTTCTTTCCATTTATCTGCAGGTGTCTCATGATTTTGCCATCAATTTCAATGAAGACAACCCTGAATGTGCAGGTAATACCAACTTTAGGACAGACTGATTACTGTAGTTTCTCTGTATGCAAATTGCTGTTGTATTTCTTACAGTATCTCCTGATTGCTGTTATTTTTTTTTCCTAAGAAAACAGACAAGAGTTTCAAAACCTGACAGATGCCAAGCTGTCATACTCAGCTTTAGAAACCCTAGGAAGTGCCACACATTTATTTTCTGAAAAACAGATCCCTTTAAAAGTACGTTATGTTGGCCATTTAATACTTGCACTTCCTCAAATTACTAGACACTTCCGAAAATTAAGCCATCTTCTTTCAGATTTGTTTCAGGTTTTAATAGTGGTTCAGCTACAGCAACATCTTAGGTTTATAGCTAAGGAAGGTAGGACGTGCAAACACTATGAAAGACACTGTGTGCTCTTTTCAGAGCCAGTTCTTCAGCAAGACCTACATCAACAGTAGCCCAGTAGCCTGCTGCAAGGCTGCCCAGCAGTGGCCAGAAACAGAGAGTCAGGGCAGCAGCTGAGGACAGTTGTGGCAGGAGGGAACACACTGTCATTGCAGCAAATGCCACGATGCCAGTGGGAGCTTGTCTTAACACTGCATGATGTATTGATGTGTTCTAGTGATGTGTTCTGGTCACTAATTCTTGGTAGTCAGAGGAGAGATTTGTTTAGCAGATTTGCCTTAGGTCTTCTATGTTTAAGTGAGGTCCTCCAGTGACTGGTGCTTACTTTCTAGAATCTCCTGCCAAAATTTGCAACGTGTTGTAAAAGGTGAGAACAGGACAATAATCTCCGAGTAGTTTGCCAAGTAATCCCCAATGAATACATATGAGAGTGCTGGTCAGATGATCGTTGCTGTCTAAAATCCACAGGTTGCTGTTATTCCTTTTTACCCTTCTGCTGCCATCTATACATTGAAACAAATGACTCAAAATGCTCTTCTCATTCAGACTTCCTAGTTGCTCCTCTCAGACCTTTTCAGATTGATCAGTGCCCTTAATTCAGACATGGTCAGCAGAATATGCTCAGGATGTGAGCTAAGATGCTGGGAAATTAAGTGAATAAAGAAGAAAGGACAAGTAATTCAAGAAAAAGTGTCATTAATACAATTCAGATTTCATTCATCCTAAATGCAAGACTTCTGTTTTTGGTACTGCGGGTATTCCTGCTTTGTTGATGTATAGGGATTGTCATTCTGCCACATCCTCTGGACGTCCATCAGATACTTGAACTGTAATTGGGTGTAAGACCTACACTTTTTAGTGTGTTTATGCAGTTTAAATATTGCTTTCAGTGAATTAAAAATGTTCGGGTTAGATATTTTCATCTAGATGTCTTGTAACCTGTGAACCAGCTTGGAGTTGTGGCTTTAGTTAAACTGACAGGGCAGGGTTGAGGTGGGCAAGCAGAACAGACCTCTGCATTTTGTCTCGACCAGGAAAACTGATCATGTTTTGAAATGTGTTGGCTTCCCTGATTCTGAACATAGAGAAGTGGCCTTCTCACAGGGCATGATCTGTTTAAAACATCTCAGTTAACAGAGATCATCAGAAGTCAGATGATAATATATTTATGATATAGATATATGATATAGTGTTCGAATATAGCTTTGTTTCCCAGTTTTAACAAACTCCTGGAATTTGATGGGACATCTTGATGCTCTAGGAAATCTAGATTGTATTATTTTGCATAAGTCGGGAAAGAAACCTTATCAGTCCATATGAAGAAAACAGTTTAGTCCCCCTTTTTCCTCACTCTTTCAAGTTCAAGGTTAATTCTTTTATCACCCTGGAATTGATCTATAATGATCTGTATTGATTGAGTGGTATGTGAAAAGGCTGTCACATCTATATAGTACCAACAGCAGGCCAGAAGTTGGACAGTAAAGCACTCTGTAAGTAGAGAATTTACCTTCTATGCTGTGTGTGCAAAAATAAGTGCAACTGTGGAAATGAAAGGAATAAAAAATGAAGGAGCTTTTTCATGAACTTTGTCTTAGCTTATATCAATGTTAGTAATTGCTACACACTTAAGCTTGATTCATTCTTTCCATAAGACTCAGTTATCTGATATGTTAAACCACCACCTGTGAGGAGTTTTAGGGTTAAGAAGTGACAGAAAGATGGTGGCAACATGATGGAAAGCCAGGGAAGACATTTTACAGCATCCTTATGCACATCTAAAAGGTAATGAAAACCCTTTGTCCTAGCTTCCTAAGTGATACCTTTTAAAATAATATCCAGTTGGATGAAGGCAATAAAAGGAGACAGACCAGAAAACATGTAGTTTAATCATCTGTTGCAGCTTGCTCGTCACTTGTCCGTCGTGGGTGCTTGATTAGTTCCTGTAGCCAATTGTTCTGCAATCTGTCTCTGACTAAATTGGACAGCACAGAGTGCAGTAACACCAACACACGCTGTGAAGAGAGGTTGCTTTTGCGGGCAAGAAAGGAGGAGTGAGAAAGTGCATTATTTTTCAATGCTATTTTTCCCAGGAATATTTTTCATACTTGCCACATAACATGGGTAAATTGCTGAGGAGCATCCTGGTCTGATCTGAGAAACAGAGTTTGGGCCCAATACAGAAACTGTATGCCTGATTTGCTTTTGAGGAATGAAATCCCTGTCTTTGTAGAAGTAGTGAACTGGACCTGAGGCCTAAAGTTAGGCCTAAACTTAAGCCAGGTCTAACCTTAAGCCAGACTTTTTATGGAAGAAAGTAAGTGAAATTAAGGTCTGAGAAAGAAAGTAAGTGAAAACCTCTAATCTGAACGAAGCCTTTTACACATGCATCCTTACGCATACAAATATACACATGCACACAGCTATTAAAATGGTTTGCAATAAAAAATACTGTAGTTGAATTGTGAAGAAAGGTCCGTATTAGCTTATGTAAAACAAAAGGAGACAAGAAAAGAAAGTCGCCAAGCAAGTAGCTCACATATCTTAATCGATTAGGCTACATAAGGAGAGTCAATATTTCTAAAAGTTATTAACCTAATTTTGCATACAGAAATGTATGTTTCTAGAACATACTCTTCACCAAGTTGAAAACCACTCTCTGACACAAACCATGCTAAATCTGTGCAGAATGAGGGGAATAAGCCTTATGGAGATAAGTCTGGGTATTATTTTAATGGACAGGACAAAAAACAGTGCATCTTGGCATCATCTTAGTGAAGATTTGTGAGGCCTTTATGCAAGATCAGTAAGTACATATAATGAGGTCCTTAGCAGATTTAAAATGGAGAGCTAACAAAGGGCCAGTTTTCCAATATGTAATTTAGTCACTGGAATTACCAAGGGAAATTTTGTAACATTACATTTTAGTCAATCATAGATATAATTGGAGAGTGCTCTTTTGTCTGTGCTTCAATGCAAAATGTGTTTATAACTACCTACAGAGAGGGAAGACTCTGTTCTCCAGCATCTCAACCTAGGAGGTTCAGGTGTGTGTTTGTAAAGTAATTACAGCTCTCTAATTTATTAGTAGTGGATCTGCATCCATATATCCTGTAAACATAATTGAGTAAAAGCTTATGAGTAAGCAAGTCTCACTGAAGACTGAGAAAACTCAGTGAAAATGAGACTAGCTTAAGATCTTACTGAAATCATTTAATTCTTCAGCATCCCTTACAAAGCTCTTCAGTTTGTCGCATTTTTTCCAACTCTAGACCTCTAATCCTTTTGGTAAGTTGGGAGTTCTGCATGTGGAAGTTAATGTGCATCACTTCAAGAAATCCTTCTTCTCAAAGATTGAAAACACCAATTCCCAGTCTGTGATCTGTCAAGTATGTCAACAGAATTCTGTTCTCCCTGGTCTGGCTATATATCCTGAAATGAAAAAGCAAAAAATAGCTACTTCTTCACCAAAAGTTCTTTACTGATTTTTTTTTTTTGTAGACTGCAAAGTATCCTTCTGTTTACTCCTAGATTTCACAGTTTTTGGTCACGGTCAAATTCAACCATTAATCAATTATGCAAAATCAACATGAAAAATTATTTTTAGCGCACTGGAGAATAAGGTATTTGACAAGATAATTGAATTTCTTAACAGCTCTAGGTTGTATATGCAAAAGACGAATTTGTTTCTAACTATCACGATAAACAAAACTAAATATTTGTCTGAAGAGAAGCACGGACACATGCCAGCATTTCTGATGTGTGGCTGCTCTTTTAGCATGAATAATGATCAGCCATGGGATCACTTACACCTTGAACTGAGAAGGATGAAATCTATTACATTGCAAGCTGATACCTGGAAAATACATATTAAAAGTTGCTGGGAAGGAGAAGCATGTTATGCTGAGTTATATGTTGCAAGTTAGGTTCAAGGCATCCAGAGACAGCTTCTCTGCTATCTCAAATTGTTAATTCTTGCTAATTAAGTGGTGTTTTAATTCATTAAACACCTAACTTTTATTTACACTTTACAAAAGCTGGTTATTGATGATGTACTCCACACTAACTTGCCTCTTATTTTTGTGGCTCTTCATACCAGGAATCCAAGGAGTTGTGGAGGCTTATCAGAGCTGCCTTCCGAAGCTGCAGCTGTATGGGCCAACCAACATTGCTCCCATCATCCAGAAGGTGGCAAAATCAGCATCGGAGGAGACCAACACCAAGGAAGCCTCGGTATGAGCACTATGCTGTGTTTGCTACTTTTTACCGGATGATGGATTTTTTCTAGACAACCACAGCAGCACTTTTTAAACTGTGCAAGACATGTCTTTACAGTTTTCATTAACTGCCTTCACAGAAGACAACTCGAGTCTCTGTCAGCCGGAGCAGTGTATCCTACCTTAATGGCATCGATAGTTACCAGTTTGAAACTCACCTCCTGCTATTCTGTTTTGTGCTTTTAGAGCTTTCTTACTATAAAACACCTGATTCTTGACTAAGAAAACATAAATAGCAGCACTAATGTAACAAAATGTAGGGGTTAAACCCTAAAAGTGTTGATCATACCGGGGAATGCTTCTTTGGGCTCCTCAGCACAAGAGGGACGTACAGCTTCTAGAGAGGGTCCAGCGTAGAGCGACAAAGATGATTAAGGGACTGGAACATCTATCATGTGAGGAAAGACTAAGCGAGCTGGGCCTATTTAGTCTGGAGAAGAGAAGGCTGAGAGGGGATCTGATCAACATGTTCAAGTACCTGAGGGCTGAATGTAGGAAGCATGGGGCCAAACTCTTCTTGGTGGTGGCCAGTGATAGGACAAGGGGTGAAGGGTACAAGTTGAAACACAAGAAGTTCCATCTCCATGTGAGGAAGAACTTCTTTCCTGTGAGGGTGACAGAGCCCTGGAACAGGCTGCCCAGAGAGGTTGTGGAGTCTCCTTCTGTGGAGATCTTCCAAACCCACCTGGATGCCACCCTGTGCCACGTGCTCTAGGCGTCCCTGCGTGTACAGGGGGGTTGGACTAGATGATCTCTAGAGGTCCCTTCCAACCTTAACATTCTGTGATTCTACCCAGTTTCAAATATCTTGCAGAGGCTGTGCTAAAATCCTTTTTGTTTTCCTAGGGCTTTTCTCCAGTCCTTCCTTTAAAAAACTAGTGATAATGTTGTCAATTTGCTCTTACTGACAAGCAGTATTACATGCATTTTAGAAGTCAAGAAACAAGTCTGCAGGCCTCCATCTGATATTTGGGCTACTTCCATATTTGGGCTGAAAAACTTAAGCATAGGTCATGTTTTAAATATGTGTTATTGAAATACCTTAAGCTTATTGTCCTTCAGCCTTCCAGACAGAATGAAAGGGAGGATGAGAGAACAGGAGAAAGCATGTGAGCCATCAGGTTTGAAGCATCCATAAATATAGAAGTGATGTGGGAGTCAAGGGTGTAAGAAATCCTTGTGTACCTCAGTAGGAAAAATGACTGTGTCTAGAAATAGAATAGATCTGTACAGTCACATGCTACAGATCACCAGGCCTGGAGCTTTCCTGAAGCTTTCTTCATGTGGTGAGCTGTATTTGAAGTCATGTTATGGCAGTAGTTCCCAAACTTTTCTGTTCATGACTTTGGGGTTGTAATTATCATTTTGATGTCACTTCCATGACCTTGACTAGTATGTAGAGTCCTGGTTCCAGAATAGGGAATTACTCTGCTTGAGTCTCCATACCCACTTAATCTTAAGGTGCCTCTGTTCCCAGTAGTGTCGCTGAACAATGTCACATTGAGTAAGTTACTTCATCCTCCTCTGCCTACACTTTGTTTTTTTGAAAAATAAATTAATTTATGGCACCAATCTTCAAGATAAAATTGCCTCTATGCTTGTTTGTTTTTCTTATGACAGGAGGCAATGAATACAACCGTGTGTGAGTTGTTATAGCTGAATACATGCAGACTTTAGTGATGTTTTGCATGTTGGTATTATTACTTGGACACAGTGACCAAATTCTAAGACTTACTTATTTTTTATTAACACACATTTGTTAAATGACTGCCAGCTGCCCTAAAATTCATAAAGAATCCAGGTAAGATGCTCTTCTCATTACCAATTGAAGAATTTATACAGACCATTTGATCCCAGTGCAATGGACCTAGGAGTTTTAGGAATGCAATGACAAGCACACAAAATTTCTTGCTCTCCTTTGAACAAGAATGAGGAAAACCCTCTTCAGGGTTCAGTGTGAAGTGTCTCAAAAATGGATGTAGTCTGCCCTGTGCACAGGCACACATGCCCTTCGTGTCCTCAGAGAACCCGTTACAGTGCTGAGTGTGATAGAGCTGCCCCGGGGTTTTGCTTCTCCCACTGGCACCCGTGGGTCACCCTGGAGTTTGCAGAGGGCTGCACCAATTCCACTTGCCTGTTAGCAAGGCTCCTCTGCAACGCGCTGTCATAACCTCCCTGACAGGTCTCCTACAGGCTTGAAATGCTTCAATACCCCATTCCTCTCTGCCTCCCACTCATTCCCAAGGAAAAAAATGTCATCAGAAACTGTCAGCAGAAGTGATTGTGTAGCAGATGGGAAATTGAGCTAGTGAACTGAAATTGAGCTCAGACCTGTTCCAGACTTCCCAGACAAAGTCCTGACTCTCCGTTTCCTGACATCTAGGAACCTCCTCTGCACTCTGCATTCCTTGGCGCTCTCAGCTCCTGGAAATGACCTGAGCTAGAGCTAAAACCCAACAGAGGATAAATTAGCAGCTGAGGATGTTTGCCTGTGAAATGAACTTAACTTTTCAACCACTGTCTTCTATTTTAAAAAACTCACGGGCAGCAATCACCAGAAACACTTCTATACTAAAAAAGAGCACGCAGCTTTCTAAGATGAACAAATGCATTAATGTTATTCCATTTCTTGTCCAACAACTCCAGCAATATTTCATCCTGCTGATCCTGACGGACGGCGTCATCACGGACATGGCTGACACCAGGGAGGCCATCGTCCACGCTTCGCACCTGCCCATGTCGGTCATCATCGTCGGGGTGGGCAACGCCGATTTTAGCGACATGCAGATGTTGGATGGTGATGATGGGATCCTGAGGTCTCCCAAGGGCGAGCCTGTGCTTCGAGACATCGTCCAGTTTGTGCCATTTAGGAACTTCAAGCACGTAAGCTGACCTGGCCACCCATCCCATGTAGGGCAGGGGGGTTCCTGGGGTTGGGCTTAACTTTGGGTGGGAATAAATACTGAATAAACCTATGGCATTATGGTCTCAGGAAGGGGGAAAAGCAAATAAAGACTGAAACGTGCTCCATTAGTGAACTGAGAAGGGTGGGAAAGGAAGAGGTGGGCCATAATCCTGGTGCTTCTTGTGCTGACGTGTTTTACCTCATAATATGAACACTGTATTGCGCTACTTTCTCCCTTATTTTGATTTTCCTTCCTGGGATATCTTTCCTAGTCTTTCTTCCATTCTTTTTGCAACTCTCCTGCATTAGCGTCACTGCATCCTGCCCTGCCTTCTGACACATGTACACTGTCCATTTCCAGAGACAGCTGAACTTCATGTGAATTTGCACTCAGTGTACCCCGAGAAACTGTTTCCTTATTGAAATTCAGCCTCCTGAGCCTTCCCAGAAAGAACTACCCAGCTAGAGCTCGCTGCTTGCCTCCAAACCCTGTCCCAGGCTTTGCACCCAAGAACACACCCAAGGAAGTGGTGTGAGTGAGAGCTCGCCTCTGCCTGAGCCCAGCACGGTGCACGAGCCCTGGCACAGGGGGAATGACAGAGCCGGAATGACTTAAGCTCAAATAAGCCCTGGGCCATGTCCGCTGGCTTCCTCAGTCACCACCTCTCTAGTGCAGCATCTGTCCCCAGGGACTTTCTCAGCAGCTGGGTGGAAACAGTAATATCTCACTCAAGAAGCTTTTCCCCACACAGACTTGTTTTCCAGAGCCATTTTCCTGCACAGGGAGACATGGAATGACTGTTGTGTTCCTCTCTGGTGCTGATGGCTTCCCTTTCCCTCCATTTTTCTCGTTTTCTCTTCCCACCTTGCCCTCATTCCTTCTGTTATATTTAAATAGTTCTGCTTACCTCCTTTTTTTTTTTTTTAATGAATCATGGTGTCTGCAAAAGATTTTCTCGGTATTTGAACGAAAAGTTCTTTCCCCCAGTGTTTCTGACTTTTGTTCTCTTCTTGATTTTACCCTTTCCAAACTGCACTTATGCCTCAGTGATGCTTAGACCTCGATTTGTCCAATACAAGTTTCCAACTCTGAGTTGGGGCTTCCATGAGTTTGCATTTAATTATTTTTTCTAGCTTTTCTTGTTACCACAGGAGGTTTTGGTTTGTTTGTTTTTGCTCCTTCCAAAATTTGTGCTCTTTTCTCTCCCCAAAATACAATTTTGCCATATGTATCTTTGAGCTAGACACCCCCCTTCCTTTTGCAAACTCTTCTGAGGAATAAGAGAAACAGACTTGTTCCTCTTTTCCTCTTTCTACCTTTATGTGAAGGATGAGTCCTCATATGATGTAAAACTCACCTGGTGCCATTGGCTCATTGGAACCATGGCAAATGGCTGCAGGTCTGCCCCTGGACTGCAGATACCTACATGTATATGTCAACGGTGCCACTCAGTGAATTATTAAGTATCTGCTGTAACAAAGTAGGAACATGACCTGCTCCCGGCTTGCAGTTCTCCTTCGACAGATCATCAGTGTGCGGTGCTGCGCTGTACCCTATTGTAAACGTGTGGAGAAGCAGGTTATTTATGGGATGGTGCTAGACCTACTTTCAGTTAGTTGAAAATATGTTGCAGCAAGGAACTGGCAAAGCCAGCTGCATTTGTTATTTTTAGTTTCACTTTGTGACTTTTTAGCAAAGTTGAAATCATCCTTGATTGAGTAGCTTAACGCTGACGGTGGCAGTTCTGTCTGGGCACTGAGTATATTGTGCCTCAAGTGTTAACTTGTGAGTGATTCTAAGTGGGATTTTAATTGCTGGCCCTGGTCAAATGACAAGTCGGTATTATTTTTAGCTGCTGTAGATTAACTTCCCCGGTACTAGGAAAGGATAGCAATCTCATAAAGTCAGTGCTTGTGTTAAATAGAGAGATTTTTCTTCCTCTTTCTCTCAGTAGCAGAGATAATATAACTGTAGGGATGAATAATGTATTTGCTACATCACAAAAGCCTATATATCTTATACTGCTTGATATTTAGTCTGTTTATTGAGCGTAATGGATGAACACCCAGAACAACAGCTACTTCTGGTTGAATTTTTTATTGTGTAAGTATCCCACATAATATCTCTCTGAGCAAACTGACATTCACAGCTGTCTTGCTTACTTACCCTCAGCACAAGCAAAAGGTTATGCCTTTTGGGTCAAGTAAAGAAATATATTTTCTTGGTAGAAATGAGTGCAAAGTTTTGATTCTAAATTTTCTTTTCCCACAGAAAGATGCAGACTTAAACCTTTTTTTTTTTTTTTGGTCACGTTTGTTCTGGTCATACAGGAGAATTATCACAAATCAATATATTGCATTTGACAATTTTAATTAATTAAATATGTTCATTTAAAAGGATATATCCCATTTGTCCTTGTACAGTGTATTTGGTTTTGTTACTTAGGATGTTCAAGTATTGAGTAGAAAAAATTTTGAACGACTTCAATAGAGGGATTAAATATCAAGTGATATAAGATTTGTAGTCTTTTTTGATAAATCAAATATTTATTTAGGTCTAAAACTGTATTACTTCTTCTGCTGTCATAAAGAGGGAAGAAAATGCTTTGGGCATGTGTCTATTTTTATTTTTTATTTTGATGGAACAAAAGAGCAAAATTAATTTGGAGTCAACCCAAACAATATTTTTTTATTACTTCAATTCTCAGCTCAGTCTGCAAATCAAAATCTCATATCTGTCTAAAGAGATGGAAAATAATATTTCCAAATGCTGTCCCTGTGAGTTGATGAGTTTAACTGTAGGAAAGGTCCTGATCCAGCAAGGCACTTTTAACTCATTTTACTGAGTTACAGCTATACCTGAATTTTTGTACCCCCTTAAACAGGCTTAACACTGAAGATAGAAAGGAAAGTTTCGCTCTTGGGGCTGAGTCTTCTGCCTGATACAGCGCACCACAAATATTTCACAAATACTTGCCTTATTGACTATCTCTCTTTAAGGAGTATCTTTGATGAAAATAATTGTAGTGATTAGTAGCAAATGCTGTTTAAAATGTTTAAAAATTGTGCCATACTCTATGGGGTGACGTGTGCAAGTCACTACAGGACAAGGCAAAACAGAGAGGGAAAACGTTTTCTGCAAACTCAAGTGAATTCCTGCTCTCTGCAGTCATCACCGTCCCAGCAATGCGAGTGTCCTTCACCTGGGGCTCCAGAACTGTGGCGCTCACAATCACTGTGATTGAAATGCAGAAGTGGAAACTCACCTGTCTCCATCCATTTATATAATATTGTGACATTCTAAGAGCTGAAGTTTTCTGCTGTTAGAATGCATGATAGATTTACTGTGCACGAATCTGATGACGCAAGTAGATTGCATTTCTCTGTGCATTGTGTTTAATTAAAAAGCCTAACAACTGTGACTTAATTACACATATCACAAATGAGTGTGGAAAGCGTGGCTCTTACCACTGCAAGGAGCAATGTTTTGCACCATGCATTGTAATTAAAGATTAAGTGTTGTGAGGCTATAGAACTAAATCAACAGTCATTTGTAACATATACCAATTACCATCAAAGGGGACTATTTTTCTGCTGCCACCTAATCTTATTGTTGTGTATTAGCCATCAGCTGAGAACTATTAATCTTGAGGTGTTTATTGCTAGGATGCTCTTCAAGCATAGCATTTGAATGCTGGAAAAATGTTAGAGTAAAGCATTAATGTGTCATCTAGGTTAAAAGAGCAATGAAAGGTAATTTTTACACAGCATCATTGCCCTGCAACCGTCTTATAGCTCAAAAGTTATTGGTTCTGAGTCTCATTTACAGCAAAGCTAATTTGCACTGTCTGGCCTACAAGTGGGAGTGCTTTGCCATCACAAAGATGCATATGGTTACAGATAGAGTGGGCTATCAGACAAGAAATCACCCCTTGTCGGGATTTGGGGATTTGCCCCACCAGAAAGAGCTCCTGGACTAACACTCATCACTGCCGTGATGAAACTGTACAGCAACACTCGTCCCTATTCGGAGTTAGCACTGAGCCAAGCCAGATAGCCAGGAGCAACTGCACGTGGGGCCACTCGTAGCCAACTTCACTCTTGGGCAAAGTAAATGTGCCAGCTGAAGCCTCAGTGAAAGGGTTTTTATTTCACACGCATGCTGAGTTCTGAGTGCTTACCTGGGCACTTCTGTGGCTCACCTGACTCCGTCGGTGGCGGTGATGTAGCCGTGTGTCTGAGCCTTGGCAGGGCCTGGTTTGCAAGGCTGGCCTTCGTTTGCTGGACACGTGTGACACTGGCAGAGACAGCGAACAGCGGCAGGAGGATGACAGGGAGATGCATGTCGGCCCGGTTTGCAGAGATGTGGACTGCACAAGCGATCCAGAGAGGCTGATGGCAAGTGCTGCTACGCAGCATTTTTTAAAACAAGACAGTGTGAAGCCTCCTAATTGCCAGGGCTTGTACGCGTGTGGTGGTGACTGAGGTTCTTCCCCTGCTCCTTGTTTTTATGCTGTCCATAGGGCTATATTGCCGGCAGGGTGACAGGCAGGCAGGTTAGGTGTGTATGTGGCCTCGTCACACTGCGGGAAGGCTAATTCTCCGTAGTGGCATAGATATCAGTTGCTGTCTGCCTGACTCCAAATGGAGGCTTTCCGATGATTTCAGTGAGAGCACGTCTAAGTGACAGCGAAGTATCTGCGGAAAGCCCATAAATTTTATTTTGAAGGATTAAAATAAATGGGTCCTGTTACTGTGTAACACCTGGGAAAAATTGCTGTTCTGTCATGCGAAGTATGGGTTCTGCCATGTCAGTTTGTTTGTGCAGAAATGTTCCAGACTTTTGCCTGCACAAACATTTTGGTATAAATGTCGCAGTAAGGAAATACTGTCTCCTTTCAGTGCTTACTAATCATATACAAAACTCAGTACCACTGGTGGAGTAAGTTTGTTTCTAATTTTGCTAGCAGTGTCTTTGCATTTATAGTACTGTGATATTTAATGCTGGAATTTATAATCCTCCCTTCTCCTTTGTGCAGTCCTGGATTAGTGTGCTAGGAATCGCAGCACAGTCTTGTGTATAAGGATCAGGGCCTATGACACACCATAGTGCAAAACATCAGTCACCCCAGCTACTTTGTGATATGATGGGCTTGAACCCTGGGTGAGAATATTAAGAGTCAGTGAGGAGGGAAGTGTTTATTAATATGGGAAAAATCACTTGGTGTGCAGGAGCACGGGCTAACCACAGGCTGAGGAGTTACCGTGCGCCAGCCGAGCGGTACCTCTGGCACACGTGTGCTCTAACTGCAGATAAGCCTGTTAGCTAAACCTCTAATACTCATAATTAAGCATTTGCCTGTTCATGGCATATCTGTGGCGGGCTCAGACAGAAACAGGGTCAGAAAATGCTTAGAAACAGCCAAATCCAAAACCTCATGATTTCTTCCGGTGAACATGGCTTCATTCCAATGAAAACAAAATATTTTCATGTGAATTAAAACTTCCCCCGTCATTGAAACCCATGACAGAGCCTGGAGATCAGAGCGCTGACGACAGCCTCCCTTTCACTGAGCCGCGCACTCACGTTCAAGTTGAACTCCACAGGCTTCCTCTCCGCGTGCCGATGGGTGCAGTTTGTGCAGCCCTTCTTAATGCAGTATGGGGGAAAACAGCTCCCCAGCCCTGAACTTAAAACAGTCCAGATGGAGCTGCAAGTCAGGCGGGGTAGTTTTAGCGTTAGCAGCGACAGGTACGAGCCCAAACTTGACTTGCAAAATGCAGTTCCAGCAATACTGCCCCTCGCTTTGAGTTCCTGAATCATCCCGTATCATACATCCTACCTTGATCTTGTGGCAGCGATGCTCATAAGACCCGATGGCACTTCTCGCACAGTGACAGGTTAATGTTTGTGTTTTCTACCATTTCCTGCAGGCATCCCCAGCTGCTCTAGCAAAAAGTGTTTTGGCTGAAGTTCCCAACCAAGTCGTGGACTATTACAATGGCAAAGGGATAAAACCAAAATGTGTGTCAGAGTACGAGTCTTCCAGGACACTAGCTCCATGAACCTGCCCGCACTCTTTTACAAAATTTAAAAAATGCTACTATCTACAGCTACTGTACTTAAAAAAAGAAAAAAAGAAAAAGAAAGAATAGCACGTTTTGGTGATTTTTAACTAAAATAATCATTTTTTTGCATGTGTAGCCTAAAGGCTTAAATCTGTTAAGCGGTTGTATTGTTGAAAACTTTTTATGAGGAAAAAATATCCGGAAAAAAGTGAACTCTTTACATTACAGCATGTCGCCTTGAAATAAAAAGTTATCTGTATCTGTTTTTATACAGGTTTGTTGAAATTTTGCTAAATTTCTTATCTTTACACTGTAAAGCATTTTGAAATATTTATTGAGAGTCGATAGCCAAAACGTCTTTGGTTTAATCTGCTATGAACTGAGAGATTTTTCAAATGGCAGATGCATGAACTGTATTTTGCATGTCTAAAATAAAAACAACACAGTTTTGCAGTTGTTGTCTTTATTTCTCTCCCTGCCACAAAACTGCCTGCTGTCAACCTCTGTACTCCAAGAAAAGGGGAATAAAGTGTTCCAAGAGAAAAGCATGGACATTTCTACTGTTAGCAGCACATAACGTAGGTATCTAAACATGCCCGTTTAGGCTGTAGCCTGACTAGCAGCTTCTCAAAAGTCTGACACATCCAATTACTATGACGGGCTCAGGCTGCAGCTGCAAACAGATCCAGCTTGGAGGGCATGATCCTTCAGGACTGCATGTCTTAAAATGTGTCTGCTTACTCCAGATGAACTGACTGGCTTTCTAATAGGTTGCGTTTTGAGCAGCCAGATTTTTTATTTTGTTTCTTTCATGTTGTTTTAAACGCACATTCAATATCCAACTTTATGTGACACATTTCTGACAGAAAGTTTGCATGGCCTGATTTTGTGACAAGTAGTATTTTGAAACTTCATTCACACACACATCACGTGTGTGTGTCAGAAAGTCTGGTTTTGTTCCAAAAGAATATTCAAGGCACTGTTTGAAGGAAAGGGAACGAGAATAAATAGATTGAGCGTAGATTGATTTCTTCATTGAAATATGTATGTAAATGAAGAAACTAGATCGTTGTGATTCTTAAGTGTTTGGAATTTGCTTTATTAAATTGCTAAAAGACAAGAGTGAAAGATATAACTTGGTAGAAAATAAAATAAGATTTGACCAAAAATAAATTTAGGGTGGGATTTTGCAAGGGTTTTCCACAGCTTTGGACGAGTTGTGCTCTTGTTGAAGTAAATACATTTTTTATTGCTAGTTCCTGAAGAATCTGTGTCAAGCTGACGTTGAGCACTGTGGAAAATTTCTGCCAGAAGCAGATTTTTTGTTGTTGTTTTTAGATATACATATCTCAAAATGAGTTTGAAGGTAACATAGAAATTTAGCTTCCTTGTTCTCATTTTAAAGTAATTTCCACAGGCTCGGCTTTGACTGATGATTTGGTAGCATAAAACAAAGGTAATGTATAGCCAAGCACATTCAGCTCTGTTTGCCTCTGTCCATCAGCGCAGCCTTCCACGCTTGTTCATAAAGATTCCTTCAGGTGCTCGGGTGCTGAACAGCAGAGGTTCCTGGCACCAGTATTACTTGGTCATAGGTGTAAGTGGTCTGGAGCTGTCCCAGCTGATAGATCTCAAAACCACATTTTCATTTAACGGGTGACTGTTCTTTCAGGGCCTTGTCCCGGGACACTGTACATCTGTCCCTCTGCAGATGTATTTCAGCTAGAAGCTACCATGATTTTTCCTAGTATCTCAAGCCCTGTTCTGCCAATATATCTTGTTTCTGATCCAGAATATCTCTCTTCTCAAATTCCCATTCCCAACCCTTTTCTCTTTCCTTCCCTACTCTCAGCACGTGACAGAAAAGTCAAGCACTCCATATGCTTTGCCCCTCCAGTATCTTACTTTGTAATCTTGAGCAAGCTGTTTAAACTCACTGCACCTCAGGTTTCCTGTCTGTAAAATGATGGTCACTGCCATATGTTCCTGAGTACCTTGCAATGGTACTGGGCAACCGTAGTACTTTACTTAAAAAGGGATTTGAGATCCTTGGAAGGATGAAGCCCAAGCATGGACTGAGAGAGCTGAATGGCAGCAGAGGGTGGGTTAGGGCCTTTCTTTATTATTATTAACCCGAGTGAAGTCTTTCTTTGAAGGCACCGTCACCGAGGCCAGGTGGAGCTGCTCGGTGAGGTGCAAAGCACACGCCTCATGCCCAGTGGGTACGGGAATGGTGGCACAGGGAGTGAGAGGACACTTCACGAAGACCATGTAATAAATTCACTTCTAAGGGTTGGATTGTTCCATGGTCTGGCTGTCTCTTGATGCTTTGACATTTTTCTTGCATGTATTTTTTACTCAGCAAAAAAAAAAATCAGAAATTATTTGCATTCAAAGGTTTTAGGCCACCAGGCAGCATTTTGAGCACTTGAGTTACAATTATTATTAACAAACACAGCTCTCTGTGTTTTACCAAATAGTCCATTGTCGGAGTTTGTTTAGTAATTCCTTGGCATAGATAAGGGAGGAAGAAGATTCATTTTCACTTTTCTTCCATTTGTTTCCTTTGCTACATACTTCTTTAGCTTGAGTCCCATCCTGCAATCTTTGAGGCCTCAGTGTCACAGTAAAGTTACATATGGGATCCCCTGATTAATGTATTTTCTGGTTCTGTGTGAGAATTCTCAGGTTTAGATTAAGAGAGATCCCTTTTTTCTGAAATTGTAGTATTATGGGGGAACAAATCATTTTCTCTATTAGTAGCAGGTGAATACATTCAAGTGGTTATATTATAGGGCATCATCTATTTTTATGCATGTAACTTTCTGTAAATGTTGTTTTAACACCTGCTATTGAAATCAAAATTTAAGAGGTGGTATCAACTTGAGACATTTGCATTATCCTAAATTTACATTTTCTTTTTTTCTTTGAGAGAGAAGGGAAATACTAATATGTTTCAATCTGGAATAAATTCCATAGGTTCAAATTTCAAAGTCTTGAACACCACTTTTTTTTCTTTTTTTTTCCCTCAAAAAAGAAACATATTTGTAAAGTTTTAAGAGCAATAAACATTTGAAACAGCTGGAGAATCTCCACTCTGCTAGTTCTCTTTTGCACTATGCTAGCATTTTCAGGCCATAGTAAAAGCATTTATTTATCTTGACCCAGAATTTAGCTATGGTTTTCCTCTTGTACATATAGGGTGGAAGGGAAGGAAAGAAGGAGGGAAGGAAGGAGAGGGAGAGAAGGAAAGAAGGAGGGAAAGAAGGAGAGAGGGATGAGAGAAATAGTTCTCCTGGTACATACATCTTTGGCTAAACTGATCTGTGAAATGTTTGTGGTTACATGGTTTTGATTAACTACAGAAATGCTTTGTCAGAGGTGTTAACATGGAGCTTCTGCAGTGCAGCATCATGTAAAAGGCAGAGATCAACAGATGGGTGTTCAACAGTTGCCGTAGGCCAAGCTACATAAAGCACCAACCGTTTTTGTGTGGGGAAATGGCCTGCAAGGGAACTGCAGATCTTGCTGTTCTTTCTGCTGACTTCACACAATACAACTTATCAACCCAATCTGCTTAAAACCAAATCAGCATCAATGGTGATGTGGATCAGCAACTCTGTATGAGCCCTTGAGGTATATGAAAGAATACCTCCATGATATTAATAAATCAATTAGAAATCTCTTTCAACCTGTAAGAATGCCAGCATGTAAAATACACATAATAGAATGAGGGCTGATATAGGACGCACAGAAAGCAAAACTAGCTGTATAGCAAAGGGATTTTAATTAGGCTTCAAATATTATTCTCATTGCTTCAGGTTACTCAGTGTAATAAAGTAGTATGGGCTTTGTCCAGGGTAATATCATTAAATTATAAATACAACTCTGAAATTGTTTTTTCCCTCCTGTTTTGTCTATTTAGGGTTTTCTTAAAGCCATTCTGCATTGAGGCAACTATGGTCAAATTCCCTTGCAGATTTTTAATGAAAACCCAAACTTCTATTGCCTTTTGATGGATCACTTTACGTTCTGAAAAGTCTTTTATAATAAACTATATTTTGTCCTTTTGAGGTAATTGATCATCTAAAAATATCTTCTCTGCCTACTGCAATCTTGCCTTCCTTTTTTACTGCCTCTCAAAAATCTGATACAATACACAGAAGTCTCAGAACATTCAAAGAAATTCATAATCCCTATTGGCCTGAGATATGTTAATATAACTTCTTGAGCCAAATATTGAGTCAAGTTCTACTTTCAGTTAAGTAGGGAAAAATAAGCCTTCAATTGAAAAGAAAAAAAAAAGTCTAATATACTGCTAATTATATATGACCTTAAGGTAAAATCTATCCTTGTATGGTTCTTAATGTAAAAAGCAATATAGTGTTCTCTAGCATTTAATGAAAGGGTCTACAGGTATGAAATGGAAATGAAATAATAATAGTTATAATATAGGTATGCCTTTGAAACATGCCTTCTATTTTAGTCTCTCAATATCAAAGGTACACAGCTGACTGACAGTTGAAATTTCCACAGCTTGACCTGTTAGGAACTCTTATTTTTTGGGTGCAATGGAGAACAGTAGTCTGAGCCAGTGTTTTCCAAATTGTGGAGGTGCTATTCTAACAAATGTGCAAGTGGAAGAGCCTGTTTCTGAGCAGATGTACATGGTGGAGCCCTACAGGGTTTACTCACAGGCTGAATATTGCGATGTAAGGAAGGGCACACGGTTGTTGAGCCTCCTTGTACTGCAGCAGAATGTCTGCTGATGAACAAAACAGCGTTGCCTCCTTCAGCCTGGCACTCCAGCTGCACACACGGGACAGACATTCCTCCTACAAAGAACCCAACTCAGGATGCAAACTGAACTTCATCACCTGGGATTACGGGTCTTGCAGTCACACTGGCTATATACATCTAAACACATCTCCGTCCTTTCCAGAGTGAAACAAGTATTAGAGAAAATCCCTTTATTCCTAAGTAGCATAGACAATTCAAATCATATAGCACATACAAGTACATTCACACTGGCGCTTTCAGAACGGGAAAGATAAGATGGAAGGTGTCTAGGATAAAAGTTTTTTTTTTTTTTTCCCCTTCTATTTATAGGAAATGCCACTTGCCATAGGGCAGACACACTCCACAGCACGATATATTCTCCTTCTGTCATAGGTCTTACTTTTACAGGCAGCAGAGAGCTGAGAAGGCTGTGGGGGCAGCATTTCACCGCAGGGTATCTGAGCCATCAGAGTTATCTAAACGATAGTGGTCAGGCCAGCTGTGCATTTGCTTGTCACGTTCACTGCAAACTGTCAGCTGTTGGCACTTGCTGCCACTCTTTTCTGCTCCCCATTTCATGGCATATTTTAGGAGATCCCCACACCAAACTAGATGAAATGCAAGCAACTTCTGTCGTGTCAAAGCTGCAGGTTCAAAAGTGACATTTTCATTTCCTCAGTGCTGAAGTTCCTGAAAAATACTCATGGCAGTGTACTGGCAGGGAAAGTTATTCTGGGATTTCTTTCTTTTCTGTTTCTTCTCCTTCTCTTTCAAAAGTTGTTGGAAATTTCTACCGCAGTGCAGGAAGCCTTTTACTGTAGTATACAGGAGCCTCTTGAATTCTTGTCCTACTGATTGCAGAGCAGACAGTTTGCAATCTGATTTCATTCAGACCTGCAGTCATCCAGCCACAGCCACACACAAATCAGCAAGCGCTGATTACGTTTCAGCATCATGAAAAGCTGCATGCACTGGAAAAAAAAAATGTTGATTTTGCATCAGCATGGCCAAATGAAGAAATACTTAGAATAATAAATCAAATAGCAGGGCCTTTAAACTTTTCCTCTCCAGAAATATCTGCAGTTCCATTCATTACTTACAAGTTACTGCAGCACCCTAAGTGAGAAAAGCATCATTTTGTGGCATAAAGACTAGTTAGCATCAGGAGAGCCCTCTTCTCTAGCTGGGGATACTCAGCATGACTTGGCAAGTCAGTTAGTCCTGCTGCGTGCCTTGTTTCCCCATCGTTAAAATGGGAACAAATAGAATTTTGCTACTTCCTAGGGACGTGGGTCTCTAGGACAGACAAGATGGCACCCAGGCCGGCTCAGTGCCATGCACAGGCCCTCTAATGCCCTCTGGGCGCTTGCCAGATCAAGCCCTGCGGTACCTGCTGAATGGAGCTGGCTCCGCTGCACTCTGGGCAATCAATAGGATGAGCACAAACCCGCAGTGCTATCTGCTGACTCTGGGCTCTGTCCTGGTCTCATGTTGCCGGACTCCGGTTTGGGCAGAGGTTTAAGGCAGAGCGAGCGGCTGCCCCCAGGCTAAGCTGGGAGGCTGGAGAGGAAACAAAACCACCCACCAGGCTTTTGCAAAGCTGCTGGGACCACTGACGTAGCAGGGAGGGCGGTTGACATACACCATGTCTAGCTTTGTTTGGGAGTTTTTATGTTAACTTGTGAGTTTTCTCTTAAGAGTCTTAATAGAGGTCAATGGGAAACTTAACACTAACTCATGAGGATCCTGGGCCTCTGTGTGCTTCAATGTATGCCCATATTGGCTTATGAAACCAGAAACATAAAAGGGGATCTCTACATTGCAGCCTTCAAGAATATTTTAAGGTCCCACTTTAAGGATGAGATTAACAGCAACAACATAACGGTTCATGACCGTTGCTGAATCATCCTAACCTAGTTTTCCCTTTTCTACCCAGCCTGGAATAATACAAAAACACTCCAGATAGATACATTAGCGCACAAGCAAGACAGGGCAAGACCTTCTAGTCCTTGCCAAAGACCTCCTCTGCAGCCTTTCCAAGGAAGGCCCTTAGCCCGTTAGGCACATGGGCTGATGGCTCAAGCAGCCCTTGCAGGGCCACAGGGGAGAGAGATGCAGCACCTAAAATCCTGGAAGCAGTAATAAGACCTGCATTGTCACACGGGACAACACACTGTCAGACACCATCCTCGGGGACATTCTGCAGCGAGGACCTTCCCCGGTGGCCTCGGCAGATCCCCACGCCCCGCCTGCTGCCTCCGAGGAAGCCGCCCAGGTCTCGCCACCTCCCGCGAGTCAGCCCCACTTCCGCGGAGGAAGGCCCCAAACATCCCGCAGCTGCCAGAAGACCCCGCACATCAACACCCACCCGGGCCAAAATGGCGCCC